TGGGGACAGGGCAGGGCCAGCCCTACGCCTCAGATGTGCTGGGATGGAGGTGGGAAAGGACAAAGGAGAGTTTGGGTGCCCTGCTGAGGTGAATAAAGGGCACCTGGCCGTGCCCAGAGCAGCAGGAATTTGTCCAAACCCCGTGGAATGTGCGTGTCTGGATAATTAACTAATTAACCGTGCAGCTTTAATGAGGAAAAGCCATCAGGAATCAGAATCAAAAGCAGGTTTTGGAAGCACGTGGCACTCCTTGGAACAGCTGCCACCTTGAGCTGTCCTCCTGGAGCAAATGGGTGGCCTGGAGGAGCAGGAGGTKCTGGATTGAGTGAATTATATTAAAAATTGTGTCCTCTGGGGCTTCAGAAAATGTTTTGCTCTCTGTGGGTGTGTAAATAGTGAACACRGATGTGAGACTGGCAGCTGTCAATGAAATATTTATCAAACACAGCTTAATCCTGGGGATTACAGATGTCCTGGATGGGCCACAAAAAATTCTAAAAGAATCCTTTCTGCTGGGAATTGTTCAGGATACCCTCCTGGATAAATTTCTCCTGGTATGCAGGGATTTATTGGTGTTGTGGGGTAGGATTCCTAGGATCTGGTTTGTTTTCTATGGGATGGYTGTGAGGAATTGGGTATTTTTATTTCTCCTGTACGTGGGAATTGAAACACCTTGAAAAAGCTGCCACCTTGAGCAAATGGGATGGCCTGGAGGAGCAGGAGTGAATTGTATAAAAATTTGTGTGCTCTTGGCCTTCAGAAAATGTTTTGCTCTCCGTGGGTGTGTAAATACCCACTGAGCTGTGTCTGTGAGAGCCCTTTGAACATCTCCAGGCTGCTCATGTCCCTGGAAGCTGCAGCTCAGGGATGGGCAGGAATTCCCTGCTTCMCCCAGGGGATAACTCAGGATTCTTTGTGCCAGGCTGGGGCTGTGGTGCTGGGAGCAGTCACTGGCACAAGGGGCAGCTGGATGGGGATGGACACCCAGCTCTGAGTGCTCTTGGGCTCTTGGGATGGGAAATCCCAGGAGTGAAAAATGGGCAGGAGGAAATTGTGCCTTTTAAACTCTRTCCTCAGGACAYCMCTGMTGCYTGGGGTTGGAAATTTCAGRAATTRAAACCATGCAGGTGGAAATTGAGTCTTTTAAACTCTATCCTCAGGACACCACTGCTGCTTGGGGTTGGAAATTCCAGGAGGTAAAACCATTCAGGAGGAAACTTGAAACTCAAAATTTGCCTTTTAAACCCTGTCCTCAGGGCACCACTGCTGCTTGGGGTGGGAAATTTCAGTAGTTACAGCCATAGAGGAGGAAATCGTACCCTGTGAAGGCTCTCCTCAGGACACCACTGCTGCCTGCCTTTGGAGAGCCCCAAAATCTCCTTTTCTGCCCCAGGCAGGACTCAGGCATAGCCTGGACAGGCTCCGTGTGGTCATAGATGGGGCAGCTCAGCCCGAGCTGGGGCTGGAGGAGGAGGAGGAGGCTCCATGTGAAGAATCCCCTCTTTTGTCCAGCGGGGTGACCCCAAATAAAGACCCTGTGCCCTGCACTGAGCTCCTGCGCCTCGTCCCCGAGGGCCCAGCCGAGGTAAGGACAGAGGTGACACCACCCCCTGGGAGAGGTGACAAATCACCCCCTAAGGCATCCCAACCCCAAAGCTCAGCAGCCATGGGGCACCTCCTGGAAGTTCACCCACAGCTCTGATGCTGCTGAGGGGGGTGAATCCTTGAGGAATTCATGGATTGGGCTTTTCCTTGCTGGTCCCAAGGGTCCCTGTTTGGAAGGAAAGCTCTCCCCAGGGTGGTCCTGCCCATGGGTGTGCTCAGCCTTTGTCTCCTCCATGGGAAGTGCCTTTGCAGATTTGTGCCACGCAGATCAACAAACGTGTCCCGATTCCTGCCCAGCAAGGAGCTGCCAGGGGAGGATTTGGATTGGTTTCATGGTTTGCTGTCACTGTCACTCAGTGGATTCAGTGCAGGTGCCATCCCTGCAGACTGAGGCTCTCTGGCTCAAGAAGAAGCCCGAGCAGGCAGGGACAGAGTGGGCAGTGCCACTCGCCGGCCAGCAGGCAATTGGTGTCACCCCCCGTGGGGACAGTGTGCCAGCACTGCTGGCCAGGAGGGGATCTGGGACAGTTATCTGTGCCACTGGCTGCTGCCCTGCTCCTGGCACGGTCAGACAGTCCTTGAGGGAGGGACAAAATAGTGCTGGGTTGATCCTCTGCTGTGCCCATGGGGATACCCTGCTCTGACCCCTCCCTTGTCCCTCACAAATGGTGCCCCAGCAGCTCCTGGTGACACTGTTCCCTCTCTTGTCCCCCCAGGTGATGGCCCACCAGCTCCTGGTGACACTGACCCCTCTCTTGTCCCCCCAGGTGATGGCCCAGCAGCTCCTGGTGACACTGTCCCCTCTCTTGTCCCCCCAGGTGATGGCCCAGCTCCTGGTGACACTGTCCCCTCTCTTGTCCCCCCAGGTGATGGCCCAGCTCCTGGTGACACTGT